AAACGACCTAAAATGGGGGAAAAAGAAAGACAAAAAGATAACGAAAAACGCAACAAAAATGGGACAAACAGGCGGTCGAGTACATGACATTATCCCCGCCATTTTGAGATCCTTGACCCCAAGGATCAAGATGTGGAAAGCAACGATGGAGGAAGCCCACATCTTCCCAAGTTCGAAGCTGAGGAGAGGTGAAATCCCAGAGAACCAAAGCCTCTAGTATTTTCTTTCCACTTCATAAAGTCATCCTTTTATCAGTAATAGCAATTGGTGTTGCCTAAATGACTCATTTTTTATCTGTTTTAGGTAGCTGTGTAGTAGATCTAGTGTGTGGATACAACCGGCGCTTGAGGAGAGAGCAATGGAAGTCTGGGTGGATCTTGGAGTCTAGAAGAAGAGTGAAACGGTAAGACACTAGTACAATCTTTTCTAGGATAGTGTAGGGGCCATAGAATTTGGTTGATAGCTTAATGTTCTTCCTCAAGGAAACTGATTGTTACATGTATGGTTGAAGTTTCAAAAACATATGTTCCCCCACTTCACATTGTTTGTCTTCCCTCTTAGAGTCAGCATAAAATTTCATGCATGTGCCTTCTGTAAATTTGTCTTGAGTTGTTAAGCCTGCAATTGCCTTTGTTGCATAAACTCTGTGACATTTGATTGATTAGAGTCAAAGTAGGGAATCATATAAAAATTCTGAGGGGGGTAGCCACAAAGGGCCTGAAATGGTGTCATTTTCAGGCTAGTGTGGAAATTGGTGTTATACCAATATTCTGCAAGAGCTAGCCATTTCATCCATTGTCTGGGATTGGTATGGACCATGCCTCTTAGATAGTTTTATAGGCATTGGTTCAACCTCTTTGATTGACCATCTGATTGGAGTGGTAAGATGAAGTCATATTCCGTTGAACCCTTAAGAGGTTAAATAGCACCTTCCAAAATGCACTAGTGAAGACCTTGTCTCTATCAGAGACAATAATCACTGGTAACCCATGTAGTTTCTAAATAGAATCTAGGAACAGTTGTTCATCCCATGACTTATTGTATATAAGTATGTCATCAATAAACCCTAACACACATTTTTTCAAAAGCTCTATGAATACCTTGTTCATTATAGACTGAAAGGTAGCAGGAGCATTGCACAGCCCAAAAAGCATCACTAAGAATTTATAGCGTCCATTGTGTGTTTTAAAAGCAGTTAAGTATCTATGCTCCTTGTTCATTAGGATTTGAAAGTAGCCTGGCCTAAGGTCTATCTTGGAAAAGTACTTTGCCCCTTGTAGTTCATCCAAAAGCTCATCTATAACTGGTATGGGATAGTCACGCTTGACTGTTAGGCCATTGAAACCTGTAATCAACACAACCTCCATGTAGCATCTTTTCTCTTGACTAGAATGATTGGAGAAGCAAAGGGTCTTTGACTATCTCTTATAATGCCAGTCTCTAACATTTCCTTAACAATTTTCTCAATTTCTCCTTTATGAGTGTTAGAAGATCTGTAAGGGTACTAATATTTAGGTATGCTATCAGGTTTAAGAGTAATTTGGTGTTCCACTCCCCTACTAGCGGGTAAACCTTTGGGTTTCTGAAAAATCACTTGATATTCCTCCAAAATAGCCTCTACTTCTTATGGATCACCCTGACTATCAAGCTAGGTAATGGAAACCCAATACACCTCTTCCACATCACCACCCAGCCCTTCATGTATCATCTTGTACAGTGCATTTTCAGAGATAAACCAGCAATGGGCCTCTGATTTTAGGGCATGTATCCCAACCCTTTTCCCTTGACGAGTCACTATCACACACATTTTCTCATAATCAAGTTCATTCGGTCTACAAATCACGAATGGTCAATGAAAAAGGATTTTTTTGAAAACTTTAATAAATTTAGAATCACATACGGTTAACATTTGAAAAAATCGCATCTAAATTGTTCAATGATTTTTTCCATTCGTCATGTGATATTGAACCTTTTTACAAGCGATATATTTTATTTTATGTGTGTATCGGTACTAATATATTTTTTTCGATGCAATTTTTAGGAAAGCAAACGGGTTTGCAATATAGCCCTATTTTTCACCAAAAATAGATCAGTTTTATAAAATAATATGTTTCATTTATTCAACTGGTTATATATTTACATATTTTTATTTAACTTTCAATTTATTTGTAGGTAAAATTGAATGGTTAATTTTTAGTTCGTCATGTAATAAGGAAATCTCTGTTAAATACAATAGTGAAATATGATTTTTTGTAATCGATTAATAAAAATAGACTAAAAAAAATGTTCTCGCAAGAAACGTTTCCATACACTAATTATACAAATAATTTTTAAATAAAAATTGATATGGTAATTCTTAAATACCAGTTATTTTTCAACAAAACTCGAAAGAATGAATGATTTGAAATTTTCAACCGATATCTCTTTGCATCACATGTGAAACCAATTTCTTAGATATCAGTTATTTTTAAACAAAACTCTAAAAAATGAATGGTTTCAAAGTTCCAATCCAAATCTCTTTGCACACGTGAAAACGGTTTTTTGCTGAATCTCTGTTCAAATCTTTAAACAATAAATTATTACATATTTCTAAAATGGCTATATCAAACACGTGAGCAAAGAAATGCATTCAAAATTTAAAATTATGATTGGATTTTCATTTGGGTAAGTCAATGGATTTGACCCAAGATTTTAATAAAGTTTCCACAAATAATTTATTGACCCTCTTTTTTCAATATATATAGATTACGAGAATTAATTCATTTCTATTTTCCTCTTGCTAATTCAACTTGTATAAAAATTGAATCTAATTAATCAAAATAAAACATAGCGGAAGACCAAGACTTAACAATAACAGACGAACATGTACAAATCACACGAAATTCAAGCATTAAATACAAAAATCTAGACGCGAGAAGATTTAACTTTTTGCACAAGCATAAAAATACTTGAGCCGAGCCCTTTAAGGAAATAATATTATTGAAGGAAAGTTTAACAAAAATAGGAATAAAAAGAAGACGAAAAAACTCCCTTTAACATCTCGTACTAAAGCCTAACATCTACCTAAAGTACACAAAGTACATAAAATAAAAAAAGTGATGTCTGAAATGTTGTGCCACTGAACACATCTCCCTCCAGCAAAGATCTTCTTCGCATGTGAACTGAAAACTTAAAACGCTCTTTTTGAATGATCAATATTTTCTACTTTTCTCTTACTTTTTGGTGTCTTTTTACCTCTATTTGGGATCAGGTTTTCTTGCTTTCTAAGATCTTCGGTTTTATCATTTCGATATCGTTATTTTAAACTTTTTGTCTTTGTAATGTCTTTTTTCTCTCTCGGACTTGCCTTCTACCATCTTCAATTTTATATCTCATATAACCTCCAAGTAACTCCTTTTAAAATCCTCTAAGACTCCGTTTATTTTGAAGGATTTGAAATCCCTTGATTTCAAAATTTTTTGAAATATAAATTTTTTTACTTGAACACTTTCTGAATGGATGTGTTGAAAATATTATAAATAAATTGTCTAGCTCGCACCGATGGTGTTGACTCGCGATGGTGATGAACTTAAATGATCGCGGACGGCGTGGTCGTCAACGGTATTAAACAGTGGATTTCAAATGATTAGGTTTGACGAGTCATTTCAAATCCTTCAAAATAATGACTAAAAAACATGTTGCATGAATTTGAAATCCTCCAACTTCCATTATCATCCCAACATGCGTGAGCATTTGAACTTGTAAATTTGAAATCTATAGATTTCAAATCACTCAGTAAATCCCTAAAAAAAAAACGGTTCCAAGTAACTCCATGCAAAAACCTATACATGACAACTCTCATAGCCAAAAAAACCTACATAAGAGAAACTATTTTTAAGGGATTATGAATAAATGTCCAAAAATTACAAAATTTAACCATATAAAAAATAGTGTTTGACTCTATTAAAAAATAACACTAACAACTTGTTATAAAAACCACAAAAAATCAATGTTTTGTGGAATTATGAAATCACCTACAAAAGCTCTAAAAAATAATTAAAATCAATAGTTAACATCAAGCACAAAAGCATGAAAAAAAAATAAAAAAACAATATACATCCCAAAAAGCAGAATTAATTTTGATTAGAGAACATATTTGAGTAGTGAACACATTGGAGTGGCAATATAAATAAGAAGTTGATCATAACAATGTTGAGCAGTGAACATATTAAAGCAGAGGAAATAAATAAACAATACCAAGCAGATGAAAATAAATAAATAAGTAAAATCAAGCAGATGAAAATATCAATTGGACAATGGACACTAACAGCTAACAGTTAACAGAATTAATTTTGTTGAACACAAGAAGATACACACCATTCATAGATTTGATGAACAACCCCCGAGGAAAAAGGAAAAAAAAAATCCCAGTTGGAACAATGCAATATAATGTCTTTACACATACATGATACAATTAAGACAATCAACGAATATGGATAATATAACTACAAAACATAGTCAAGGCTTATATTTAATTTACCCTAACCAGCAGACCATTAGATCTTTAATTGAGTTCAAGTAGATGAAATTAAAACCCATATAGTTGCTCCCACAAGGCCTATCTAGAGGCAAATGACTTAATAAGGCTTTACTACTATGTTCCCCCATATGTTCTTAACCTAACCTCTTGCTGATAAACATATTTGCACTTGTCCTTAAGAAGTGATCTCACCATAATCTTATGAGCTCACGAGAGATATATCCTTCAATGATAGCAACTTGTTCTGCCCCTTGCAAGAGACCCTAGCCAACATGGAAGTCACAACAGATAACTTTAGATCTTTTTCACATATTGGATTTGCGTTCCCACCTTTCCTTTACGTCAAGCCTAAAAGGTTGGCAAAGTAAAAGCAAACTTCAAATACAGAGAATATGAGTGGATTCTAATATCAGCCTCTCCCCTCACGATGTTATATATATTCATTCATTTCATTTTCCCTATCGTTATTTGATTGTGTACTGTGAAGGTCGATGTAGTATACATAAATGTCCACTAAAATTCGAGAATACCCCCAATACAGCTTTTGCCGTTTTTTCATTGTTGAGTTCCCGGCTGACTTGCTCCCTTCCTCGGGAGAAACATCTACTGTTTTGCCTTCTGAGTTTGAAACAATTGCATAATTCGAAGCCGATTTGCAGGGTTCCGTGCACTCACGAGCTTCAACGACCTTCTTATGGGGTTTGCTTTTTCCACCTTCTAAACCAGTATAATGTCAACAATATTCAAATATATTGCTTAAAAATGAAAAACAGTGGCTCAATTACAAGACTTTGACACACCTTTGTCCTTTTCCCCCTGCTTTCGACTTGGCTTTGATTTTCAAACGCCTCTTGTGCAACTCCTAGTAATTTGTTTCAGACAAATGTAGTAGCACACGTTAGAAAAGCAGTACAATCACGAATAATTACAGATCTTCTCAACACCAAAGTAACTACAATTCACAAATGATCAGAATTAATCTCCAGAAAGGAAGCAATAACAGAATAATAACATTAATCCAAAAAGATGAAGACGTATTGATTTAATTTGTTTCCACTTTACTCATCTCGTGTTCACAAGGGTAGGTTTTATAGTGTATACAAATTAATCCGAACCTCTAAATAAAAAACATTCTCGTGTTAGGGTTTATGCTCTTCCATTAGTGTCAATTAGGGCATATTTACATGATTGATGAATTAAGGATGATAAAATATAATGTGAGGAAACCTGAAACTTGGCAAGCTGGGACTCGGTGATTCCACTTTTCGGCTTGAAATTGGCTGACGATGCTATTGCAGATTCTCTTCTTTCGATTGCGTTTTCATCATTTTCTCTCTCCATTTACACCCTTCCTCTGTAAGACTGAATCTGTTATATTTTTTTTCAATTGATATAGATTTAGTGCGCAAGCTTTTGAATGGACCTGCTTGCTTCACCTTACCGATTGCTNATGTGCATAACCAGACCAAGAAACACAATATTTAATACAAACCACACAGCTCGGAAATAGAAAATGTTCATAACTAGACCAAAAAACACAATGTTTAATACAAACCACACAGCCCGAAAATGGGAGCACCAAACACATGTGGGCTAGAACCAAACAAAGACAGAAGAACAAGTAACACAAACCAAACCAAAGGGGTAAAGCAATTACACTCAACTGAACCTTCATCCCTTAACCAAGCAAACAGAATACAACCCAACCAAACAAAGAGAACCCGAAAGAACCAAACCAAGAGACCTAGCACCTATGACTCTGCAGATAAGCCTTCCACTCCTGGACTGCTACTCTGATGACAATATGTGCAGGTCTCTTAATCTGCTCAACACTCAGAGGTAGTGAGACTTCCAAAGTCACCAACGTATATAGGTCAAAAGTTGTATCCTTGCTTCAAAAGTCTCACTCCTGTCCAAATGACAAATCTGCCACTACCAAGATTTGAACGACTCTGTTCCTTGAGGCCCAACCCAACTGAGAGGAGCCAGCTTCCAGACTGATTTGGCAAACCTGCAATGAAACAACATAAGTTCTATGGACTCTTCCTCCTCACCACACAGTCTACAGATAGGATCCACCCCAAAACCTTTGGCTTTCAAGTTCAGGCTCACAGGAAGAGAGCCATTGCAACACTTACAAATAAAATGTTTAACTTTCCCCATTACCTTATGTTCTCAGCTTCTTGATCTGACCTTGATATATGTGGTTAAGTCCTTGTTGCCTTGTGCTTTGTCCTGCTTAAGGAATTTTTCAGTTATCAGCTGAGAGTAGGTATACTGTACAGTGAACTTACCCTTCTTATGCAGTGACCAGGCCAAATTGTCATTTTGGTTAGGATCAATGGAATATATAGTTTCAGTAAGGTTAAGAGCTAGTAGAAGAGTTAGAAATATGTATATGCTTTATTTGCTTTTAAGTTGTCTAAATTGCCTTGTTTGCCTTATCTGCCTTATGAGTTTAATTGTCCCTGCTTGACCTTACGTGCGCTTGCATGTCTTACTTGTTTGTTTGCCGTCGCTGTCAATAATAAGATAAAAATTATTTAAACTATAGATTAACGAGGAATCGAGCCCTCATCAGACGCATCCATGTAAGAATATTTTATATTCTTCTATTATTGTGGACCATATAATTAGTTGGACATAATTGAATTAATAATCAAACTTAATTAAGGTGAATATGTATTAAATGGATTATTAATGTTCTAATATTAAAGAGTCCAATTTGTCATGTTTGACTTGGACAATAAGTTAGGTAAGAACATGGAGAATATTAGTAGGATTAGGATTCTAAGTCTCCTTCTATATATACTACTACATGTCCCTCTCTCTCTGCTCATACGAAAATAAAGTTCTCAACATCAAGGGATTTATGGAAAGACGAGAGACGCGGGAGAAATAAACAAATTCATAGGCAAAGACAAACTCATCATTGGAGACTACGAGAAAGAGGACGGTAGATCAACATCATAGATCAAGAAAACAGGGAAGGATTATAAGTTGGACTCTTGTAAGTTCTATGTGCAATTTAATTAATGCAAATATCCATATTCTAAGAACTGATAGATTTACATGTTTAGGGTTTATTCAATTCCTCCTAATAGTTATGAGTATGCCCATTAAATTTTCTTACAATCCATTCATTCATTATCAGTTTATTCAGTAAGCAATCCAGGTGGGGATTTCCATGCTATGTTCTAATTCTTAATAATCGTAAGGTATTTTATAATTGAGGTATGATTATGAGTTTTGCCTGATTAGTAGGCATCAGATCTCCCGTGTTGTGCGGGTAGCGTCCCCGACGGTTGACCAGCAGATGGGATAGTCTTCCATGTCGTGCGGGTAGCGTCCTAGACGGTTGACCAGTAGATGAGACCAGTTTATTCATTTATATGTTGATATTATTGATACCTGTTATTATCATGAATAATTACATAGTATGGATTATCAGTGAGCACGTTGATTTTGCTCAACCCCCACAATTATTATTTTCAGGTTAGCAGCTGGTGCGGGACTCGAGGGGCGATTGGGTGGTCATATGATATTATGCAGTTGTTTATGCTTCCGCTATGAACAATTTATTTTCCAGAACATGTTATTTCATTTATTATGAACATTGTTTGGATGATGAGTTTCAGTATTCAATTCAGTTATTAGGCTAACATCGATCGCTCTGCTATGTCTTAATGAATTGAGCAGTTAGTAAGTTCCAGGAACGAGCTGCCCCGAGAACTTAAGAGCAGATGAGTTTAACAGTAATTTTTAGTAAGTATCCTCAAAATAGATTTAAAAAGTTAAATAGTTTTCGAAAAGTTCGAATTTATTTCCAAATTCTGATGTTTTCAAAGTATAAGTAAAGGGTGCTTACAAGAAGAGAAGAAAACCAAACTCTATACCTAAAGAATCAGTCTCCCATCAAAGAGAATTTCGCTCCCATAAGAGAGAATTTTTACTGATTATTTGGTTGATATTTGAATGAGAAAGATTACGTATTTGAAAGAGATTTCTCTTCTCTTATTTCTCATCCGTACACTGTGCTACATCACATATCATGCAACATTTTATATCACTACAATCTACTCAGAGTTGACATATAAAAATATTTTTTTAATTAAAATTATTAATAACTTTCAGATTATACTTTATGGATAGATTTTTCTTAGTAGGATGTATAATTATATATAATACAATTAGCATATTTTATTTATTTATATAATATGTATATCATGTGAAATATCGTCACAAATTGATTAAATCTATATTTTATTAAAAAAATACATTTAGAATATAAGTTACTAAGCAAGTCTAATAATTTAAAACTCTAATTACAATATCATTTACATATTTGTATACCCTAACTAGTCTGAACCATCTATCACTATTTATTAGTACAGAGCCCGTGCGATGCACGGGGTGCACAATTTTAAGGCTATTTATCTAGGCTTATAATTATATACATGAATAAATTAAAATGTACGGGATATATAGTACGTGACCCGTGCAAAGCACGAGATATATTTATTTGAAGAATATTATATTATAAGATGCAATTCAATAAAAGTTTATAATACGCAAGAAAATTGTATAATATTCAATAAAAGTTTTATATTATTCAAGTGGAGTCTTAAAGTCTCTTGTACATTAAGACTACTGACAAAATAATATTTTAATCAATGAGTTTCCTTTCCTTGTAGCGACATTGTGAATGTGATTTGAGGAGTACAACAAATCGATATATAGCTGACTTGCATTTTTCATTGTAGTTTTTTTTTTCTTTTTTTTTTTTATAATGAATTTAAAGATATTCTAAAATATAGCAAAAATTAATTTTTTTATTACAATTAGGAATTTTACTAAATATAAACTCTCAATCTATGGTGTTAATCAACGTTTAAGTCTAAAAAATTAGGAATTTTTACCTCTTTTAATCAACATTTAAGTCTAAAAAACAATAGAGTTATTATAAGTTTTTTTTCTACATCTTTTAAAACATTAAATATGAGCATGTTACGGCTAGCTTGTAAAATAATTAATATATTATCTCACTAAAACATTTATACTAATAAAAATTTAATTTTAGCATATAAATTTATCCCTTGATATAAGAGAAAGTAACAGTTTTACTTATTGTTGTTCACCATATAATATTTAATTATCATTTTATTATATAATAAAAAAGAAATGTTATTAAATAGTGTAGTAGAATTGTTATAAAATTATATAATCTTTTTTTTACAATATGAATTTAATATTTTTTTATGATTTGATAATATAAACAAATCTATACTTAACTTTGACAAATAAAACAAATAAATACTTTAGTAAGTTTTTAATGTATATACTAAATAGGAATATATTTGGTATAATCAAATACCAAATATAATCAAATAAGTCAAAGTGTACATTTTTATTTGATATTTGATTTTTTTATTATTAAAATATTTTTATTATACTTACCTTTTTAAAATAAAATAAATAAGTAAATCAATTAAATAAATAAAATATTATAATACCAAAATAGTAATGGTATTTAATGCAGTTGACTTTTCTGAATAGTAAATATAGTAAATAGAATCTCCTTTTATATAAGTATAGATTAATTAATTAATACTATTATTTAAATGATGAACTCCCCTTGTACATCAGAAAAATCTGGCATAATAATATCTATCTATATTTATATTAAAGGGGGTACTATTTACTAAATTAAGTAGTCAGAAAAATCAACAACATTTATTGCATTACTATTTCCGTATTATACTATATAAAAGGATATTCTATTTACTACATTTACTATCCAGAAAAGTCAACTGCATTAAATGTCATTACTATTTTGGTATTATAATATTTTATTTATTTAATTGATTTATTTATTTATTTTATTTTAAAAAGGTAAGTAGAATAAAAAGATTTTAATAATAAAAAAATCAATACCAAATAAAAATGTACACTTTGACTTATTTGATTATATTTGGTATTTGATTATACCAAATATATTTCTATTTAGTATATACATTAAATACTTACTAAAGTATTTATTTGTTTTATTTGTCAAAATTAAGTATAGATTTGTTTATATTATCAAATCATAAAAAAATATTAAATCCATATTGTAAAAAAAAAAAATCATATAATTCTATAACAATTCTACTCTTCTATTTAACAATATTCCTTTTTTTAATATATAATAATATAATAATTAAATATTATATGGTGAACAACAATAAGTAAAACTGTTACTTTCTCTTATATCAAGGGATAAATTTATATGCTAAAATTAAATATTTATTAGTATAAATGTTTTAGTGAGATAATATATTAATTATTTTACAATCTAGCTCTAACATGCTCATATTTAATGTTTTAAAAGATGTAGAAAAAAACTTATAATAACTCTATTGTTTTTTAGACTTAAACGTTGATTAAAAGAGGTAAAAATTCTTAATTTTTTAGACTTAAACGTTGATTAACACCATAGATTGAGAGTTTATATTTAGTAAAATTTCTAATTGTAATAAAAAAAATAAATTTTGCTATATTTTAGAATATCTTTAAATTCATTATAAAAAAAAAGAAAAAAAAAACTACAATTAAAAAAGCAAGTAAGCTATATATCGATTTGTTGTACTCCTCAAATCACATTCACAATTTGGCTACAAGGAAAGGAAACTCATTGATTAAAATATTATTTTGTCAGTAGTCTTAATGTACAAGAGACTTTAAGACTCCACTTGAATATTATAAAACTTTTATTAAACATTGTACAATTTCTTGCGTATTATAAACTTTTATTAAATATTGCATCTTATAATATAATATTCTTCAAATAAATATATCTCGTACTTCGCACGGGTCACGTACTATATATATTCCGTACATTTTTCTTTATTCGTGTATATAATTATAAGCCTGAATAAATAGCCTTAAAATTATGCACTCCGTGCATTGCACGGGCTCTGTACTAGTAGCATCTGAAAAGTAAAAAATTACTGGAGACAGCTGCGCAAAATATTGCACGCACTTGGCCCGTTAGATTCCACTACTTACCCAAATTTCTTACCATACAGCACTGATAACCTCCGCCGTTCGCCGACCGGCGGGACTCGGACATCTGACGGCGCGTCGCGATGGAGGACTACTTGAAGCTATTCGTGGAGGAAACTTCTTGGTACAACGACATTGTTCTGGGATCCATGTTGCCGGAGAAGTGGTGGGCCCCACTCCCTCACTTGTGCCGGGGATGGCTCCGGAACTACATCGGCGGCACTTTGATTTATCTGCTGTCGGGGATCTTGTGGTGTTTCTATATCTACTACGTAAAGCGCAACGTCTATGTTCCTAAAGGTTTTGTTTCTTTTGCTCAAGAGTGTTTTTTGTTTGTTTTTTTTTTTAACCTTTTACTGCAATTATATTTGATTGTTGACCAGTGAATGGGTTCAGATGGAGTTCTTGTCTGGGTCTTGTTCATGGCTAGTGAATTGAATAAATTTGCTTATTTGTGTTTTAAGTGTAATGAAGTGTTCAATTATGTTTGATCTAGCATGTTTCTAACTTAACACTGTTGTTCTCTTCCACATCCAGAGATGTATTGATTCCATTAGGAATTCCATATTTTATCCTCTTATATGTCTGTGTGCGTTTCCTCTAGTTTTAATAGAACATATCATTCTGCATTTATTGTTGCAAGTTGCAAGGTAGTTGGTGATTTTGTTGATACATGTGGCCTTTCTGAAAACATTTCACATGGATTGAGTTGTTGCAGGAACTAAAAGCAGCCTTTTTTCTCGATTCTCGATATCTACTGCTCTTTGAAATTTTAGACTTCAAGTTGAACTCTTAGATAAACCCTTTTCAGATGTAGGAAATGAAGATCTGAATTTAGTGATTTAAATCATGGTGACGATGATGGTTTATAGTCCAAGCATTGTCCTTTGAAAAGGATTCAGATGAGCTCAGCTAAGTGTTTGTGCTGTTGTCCCAATAAATAATTTAGTTTGTCTTTACAGAATTAATACATTGCATATTAGACTGTTTTAAACATGATTTTTTAAGCACCTCTCTTATTTGTTTGTTGCAACATAGATTACAACTGGAAATTGTACTTACCTAACCAAAATATATTTATGCTTCTACTTGTTGATTTTCACATATGGGCTAAACAACATGAAACCTTAGACCGCAGTTCCGCAAAATTTTAGTTTGTAATCAACTTCAAACATGAGTTAATCCCCTTGACTGCCTGTTTGTATGAAACGTTAAGACTGTAAAGTTGATGAAATTCTGCAAAATCAATGTGATGAGGAGGGTCTAAATTAATTTACTAGAATATTTGGTCTTTACTTATATTGACACGATTATATATTCTGGCACATTGCTGTCTTTCTTTACCTTGAACGATGAAAATAGCATCTCACTGCTAATTTGACTCGACCTATGCAAATCTATGATAACTTGGTTTATTTATCCATGTGTTGTACTGAAAAAAAGTTTTTGAATTACAGATGCCATTCCTTCTAGAAAAGCCATGCTTTTGCAGATAGGAGTTGCCATGAAAGCTATGCCATGGTACTGTGCTCTTCCAACATTATCCGAGTACATGGTCGAACATGGGTGGACCAAATGCTTTTCGAGGATAAGTGATGTTGGATGGCTTGCATACGTATGCTATTTGACTGTCTATCTTGTGATTGTGGAATTCGGGATATACTGGATGCACAGGGAGTTGCATGACATAAAACCTCTCTATAAGTATCTACACGCAACACATCACATCTATAACAAGCAGAACACACTTTCTCCTTTTGCTGGTAAGGTCTTATTTCTTTTTGTCTTCTACTTAAATATTTCTGGCGAATCAACACTGAAAGTTTCACTTACCCATGGTCTTGAATGAAACTTGCCTGAATTTTTTTGTCTCAATTTTATGTTAGGTTTCTCTGCTATTGAAAATACATTATTGGAATAGCTCATTTATTGTATCAATAATATATATTTTTAGTCCTTTCTCCTCATCAAAGTTTATGTGAATAAATTTCTCACCTATGGGAACTTTTGAGTACTTTTCCTGAGGAGGAAGTCACATTTCGTATATTCTGTAATATTAGCACCTCTTGATAGTAATTAGCACGCCACTAACGTCTTTCCCCTTTTATCTCGAAAGACAATCTTTACAACATTACCTAAAAAATGCATTCTTAACTTTTTACCGGGACTTCATCATCTTTTAAGTCGTCAAGTATGAGTATTAACTCCATTTTCGTTTCAAATTTAGGCCTAGCTTTCCACCCTTTGGATGGTATACTGCAGGCAGTACCCCATGTAATAGCTCTGTTTCTAGTGCCAGTGCACTTCACAACGCACATAGCCCTTTTGTTCATTGAGGCCATATGGACGGCAAACATTCACGACTGCATACATGGGAAATTATGGCCTGTGATGGGTGCAGGCTACCACACCATTCATCACACCACATACCGCCATAACTATGGGCACTACACCATATGGATGGATTGGATGTTTGGGACCCTTCGCAACCCTGTGGAGGATGACTCTAAGAAGATTTAGTCTACGTTTTGTCACTAAGGTTGTATAATTTTTCTGCCCGCCTNTTTTGACTCTGAATGTACATTTTATTGACAAGTGGGCTAGTGTTTCAGATGATTGGATCGAAGCATTAGTGCCGGTAAGAAAATAAAGGTCACATTATATAACTTCTCGGTTACGGGTTAATATGTTTGATAATAGCAATTTCATTTGCCAAAGAATCATTTTGACCCGTGCATATGCCCTTTTGTGAAAATCATTTTCCCCTTCTTGTGTATATTATTATAAATTTTAATAATTTTCAATCACAATTTTTGATAAAATTATTAACTAATTTGTATGAATAGTCGAATTTCTCTCAATGCTTACTAATTCACATGGTAATTTGAAAGATAACCTGGTACTTTTTATCTTTTATTTGATATACTCTTGATACTTGAAATAATTGATCATTTCTATTTTACATTTTTAGAATAAGTTTCAAACTAGTATACTTAAAGCATTATATACTAAATAAACATTGCTCAATTATATTTATACTTTATATATTAACTAACTTCACACTAATTCATTATATTTATATTAAACATAAATTTTATATAACATAGGTTAAAATATTTATTTATTTATGAAATATAGACGTTAGACTAAAGATAATAAAACTATAGCAATTTAATACATTATAAATAAAAAATGAATAAAAAGGTAAAAAATATTAAATTTGAAAAGAAAAAATGATATCTATGTTTATAAAAAAATAAAAATAAAAAATTCAGCAAAAGACTCCACTAAACAAAAAGAAAAAAGAAAAGAAAATGACAAAAGTAAAAATCAAAACATTAATTTTATATTGCCATTGCAAGAAAATTCATGATTTTTTTTTCTAACGAAGAAAAATCATGATTTCGATAATTGAAGGATTGGATAAATGGGTTAATAAATAAAAAAATATCTGCAAGGTAAAGATTTCAAATCAGATCAAACTCGACTCTCCACCTCAAAAACGACGCTCAAAACTCCAAACTCACACAGTCACACCCACTCCGCACAGCCGCCGTGTGAGTGTGGTGGCGCCACCGCCTTTACCACTGTAAAGCTTTGGAGGATATCAAAATCCCATGTCTGCTTCTCATTGCCGTGCCCCTTTCTCAAACGCCATTATCCCTTTCCCTCGCAACCCCTCAAAACCTCCACCTCCTTTTCTCCATTTTACTCCTAAATATACCTTCACAACTTTTTCCAACTCGCCTTCGAAAAGAAACTTTATCCGTGCAAATGTCGAAGAGAGTAGCAGCGAGCACGAAAGCCAACAAGTTTATCAAGCAAAATCTTCAGAATCCAATCCGCAACAGACAATCAAAGCTCCGACTGCTCCATGGATGAATAAACCCCTTCTTGTCAAGCCGAATGAAATGATTGATATCACTAAGCGAAACAATCGAAGAGATTATTCAACCTCTAATGGAAATGGAGAACATCGTGATACAGCTTTGACTCGGAAAGTGGGAGGTGGCAGAGGTAAGGTAGCCATGAAGAAAATCTTTAAGGGTATTGGAAAACTCCGTGAAACTGAGAATCTCGAGGAAAACAAACAAGCCTTAGGAAGTGGTAAGTTCAAATTTGCACCAGGTGCGCTATGGGGAAATGAGGATTACGAAAGTGATGCTGAAGTTCAGGGGAATTATGAGGGTGGAAAAGAGTGTTTTGGAAGTGGTAAGTTTGATATTCCTTTGGGGGAGGTTGTGAAAGAATTGAAGTTGAGGAAAATGCCATGGGAGGGGGATGAAAAGACGGTTACTAGGAGGGTGATGAAGGAGAAGGTTGCTACATTTGCTGAGCTGAATCTTGATAGAAATTTGCTTGAAAGGTTGAGGGATGAAGCCGCTAAGATGAAGAAATGGGTAAAAGTTAAGAAAGCTGGGGTGACTCAAGCTGTTGTCGATGAAGTTCATTCCATTTGGAGAAATGATGAGCTTGCCTTGATCAAATTTGATGTTCCCTTGTGCTGGAATATGGGTAGAGCACGAGAAATTGTTGAGGTTAGGGACTTTTTAATGTTGCATTTAAGATTATGGAGTAATATCTTTGAATTCTTTTCGGTCAGAGCTGAAAGTGATTCTATTTTTCCTAGGGGATTTGATAATTTCTTTAGTCCTCAATTTTAAGAACATGTTGCTAATATAAAGAAAAGTTAAACACATACCTGAAAAAGGATTATAAATTTGGTACAAGTTCTCGTTTCCTATGTCATCTGACACCATCTATATGTTCACCTTTTGTTGAGTTGCATTTAAGCACGAAGGTCTCTTTTATCGTTTAGGTTCTTAGCAGAAATGGTTTATTCACTTGATAGTTGGGAAAAAAATAAAAAAAAAAAAAATAAAATACTTCTTCTATATTTTCCCACAAGTTTTTATCTCCTCTGGTGGTTCCATTCCTGCCTTTGTTGTCTGTAAATTATTATTCTGATTTTCTGCATAATAATTCACTTCTATATTGCAAAAACAGATGAAGAGTGGAGGTATAGTTGTCTGGAGGAATAAAGACTTTCTTGCTGTTTATAGAGGGTGCAATTATAAATCATGTTCGAAACATATTTGGATCAGACGTCACAACTTTATTAGTAATGGAGAAAATTCGTCATCCAATAAGAATTACGGAAACAGAAACGATGGAAACTGGGGAACTTTGCACATAACATCTTTATATGAAAGAGAAGCTAATAGGTTGCTGGATGGGTTGGGCCCACGTTTTGTTGATTGGTGGACTCAAAAGCCTTTGCCTGTTGATGCAGACTTGCTTCCGGAACTTGTTACCGGATTAGAGACACCATTTAGGCTTTCTCCAACTTTTACTAGATCAAAGCTCACAGATGCTGAGCTCACATATTTGAGGAAGCTTGCTCGTCCTCTACCAACTCATTTCGTCCTTGGTACTTATTTTCCTGTACAATCAGTTTGGATTTAAGCATATTCGGGCTTTCTTGATATTCCATTTTAAGAGGATCTTTGGGTGCGTTTATAAGCTCTCTGAAATATCCCGACATCTTATACAGGTGTTTCTTATTTGATCTTTTCAAGTTTTAGAACCTTTTCTTTATTGTCACTACAGAAGGTTTATAAGCTCGCAAACTATAATTCTACCAGCTTATCATCTGTTTCTGAAATTGATTTTTTTTTGGCATTTTTTCTGTAGTTTTTTACTTTTTGACTACTGTAATTATATTACTGCTATTACATGCTATATAAGCNCACCTTAACATATTATGTCAAAGTTAAAATTTACTTTTCTTATAAGCTCTGGAATAATCTAATTATATTTGGAACATTTTAAAATCTTTTAATTATGCTCAACCAAGCACCCTCGTTGTTTGACTAAGCTGGTTGCTGTAAAGAAGCATGTATCCATTAACTTATGTGTTAAGTAGGTGTGCTTATAATCCTGACAGAATTTTGTTTGAGTTTTCCTGAAGGAAGAAACAGAAAACTGCAAGGACTGGCTGCAGCAATTCTAAAATTGTGGGAAAAATGCCACATAGCAAAGATTGCAGTGAAGTGGGGGGTTCAAAACACAGATAATGAGCAAATGGCTAATGAACTCAAGGCAGGTGGAGATGAAATATGATGTTTGTTTTCTGTATTTGTGATCTCTTACTTGTATTCTCATATTATTGCTCTCATTAGTTGAATGTACTAAGATAACGTTTTTCTCTAAGGTGATTATGATTAGCCAAGTGTGTAATGTTGTCTCTTTGATAATGTGTTTGTTCTTTGATTTGTTTATGATGTATTTTTATTGAACTCTTTTTGAAGTACAGATAATCGATTGTAGAAAGTCCCCTGAGAGAACACAAGAATGACGTGAGAAAGTATGTAGACACGATCTTTAAGATGTATAGATAAATGCTTTATATATGCATAATGCATATATAATACTTTATGGGGAATTTAAATACATGGTTTGGCGTTAATAAGTCTACATGGTTACTAAGCACAGACTTGACAATCTTATGGCAATCAAACCTCACTTTATGGTTTCTTTTAATCATACTGTTACTAATGCAGATTCTCACTGGAGGAGTTCTTTTATTGCGTAATAAGTTCTATATAATCCTCTATAGAGGTAAAGATTTTATACCCTCTGAAGTTGCAAAAGCAGTGAATGAACGAGAACAGGCGCTCACTAAATGTCAACTTCAAGAAGAAGCTGCTAGAATAAAAGCAAGTGAGGCCTTTTCAATAACCGATGAACAGACACTTACCTCTGGTGCTGCCGGTACTTTATCAGAATTCCATAGTATTCACTCGGATATTAGTAGCCTGAAGAAAAGTGAGACTGAGGTTGAAATCCAGCTGAAAACAGAAGAAGAGAATCTGAAAAAGGAACTCAAAGATCAAGAGCGGAAGCTTTACATTGTAAGATTATTATTATTATTATTATTATTATTATTATTTGATATATAATGGAATTCACATTTAAATGTTTCTTTCACAGCTTAAGAAGAAAATAGAGAAATCAGTTAAGATATTGGAGAAACTAAATAGTGTATCAAGATTTTCTGAGAAAGACCCAGATGTGGAAGTAATCTCTGAAGAGGAGAGACGATGCTTAAGGGAGATGGGTTTGAAGATTGATAGCAGCTTAGTGCTTGGTGAGAAAGATACTTTTACGTTTTTCCTCTTTTCTTTTGAATGAATCTTTTGGTTGTCCAAATTGAAAAGTCCATCCAATGTCAAGCTTTGAGCTTCCTAAAGAGAAACAATTTTCCTTTGTGATTTTTTTATTATTCCATATCCCGTTAAACTCATATGTGCCATCGTGCAAAATATTATGGCTTCAGGAAGGCGTGGTGTTTATGATGGTGTTATAGAAGGAATGCATCAACACTGGAAGCACAGAGAAATTGTTAAAGTGATTACGATGCAGAAAACATTTTCACAGGTCATGCGCACAGCAAAACTTGTCGAGGAAGAAAGTGGTGGGATCGTGGTCTCTGTAGTCAAACTTAAGGAAGGACATGCCATCATTGTATACCGTGGGAAAAACTATAAGCGTCCAAAAGTAGCAGCAATAAATTTGCTGAATAAAAAAGAAGCATTATCTAGGTCACTAGAGCTTCAAAGACTTGGTGTAAGTATATTATTGGTTCATCTCTATTTCAAGGTGTTTCTTGTTTGTTTTTGACTGACGTGTCCGAATCTCTTGGATCTTATTTCGCCTGCAGTCTCTAAAGTTCTTCGCAAGACAAGGAGAGCAGGCAATCGCTGTTCTAAAATGCAAGCTGGTAATCTACAGTCTTTTTGAGCATTTTATCTGATCAATTAAATATACAAAGATGTGAGATGAATACGCACAACACACATAACACACGCACACACACTCCTTTAGCTTTTGTTTCAAATTATGAATGATGGATCTCACTTTCGTTTGCTCATTTGTAATTTACTCGGCGAATCCATTTGGAGGCTGAAATTCACAAAAGATGAGTGATTCCAGAAGGTGATAAGAATACTCAGTTATGATAGGTGCCATCACTGTACCCATTCAAAGCATATGCAACAAATGAGAAGGTGTGCTGATATTTATATGTTTTTTACAGATATTTTATTTTGGTGGCAATATGAACCATAGGTAGCGTTAGTCTTCTTAGCTACTTTTTTGTACATGTTTTCTTGGTGGCTAGTTCTTGAATATATTTCCTGTGCCATGCAACTTTAATGCATGTTATGGGTTTATCATATGTCACTTTTTAGTTATTCCATGTTTTCTAATGCTTAAACACAATTTGTGCATAAGGTTTTAGAGTTATCAGACTTGTTTATTTGCCTTGATTTTATTAGGCATATCATATGGCAGTAAAACGATGTTTGTGAAAATTGGCAGTTTACCATCTAGCCTCTCAGCAAATTGTCAACTGGTATTTCTGTTGGACCATCAAATACAGACGAATGAACTGAGATTTAGGATATTGGAAGTGAAGCTGTCTACAGATTTGTTGGGCTTGAATTCATACACCAATGCTCTTGTCTCTTTCATAACAAAGTCCTAATGGGCTTGCAATATTGACATGGGAAGTTTTGCTGATGCTGGAAATGTCATTGATGAAGTCTTGCCTGTTTCTGTTAAGACCTTGAATGCAATAAGCTGTCAATCAGGTATCTTTCCTTTGCATACAGGGACCCATGGCAGAATAGAAGTTTGTAAATATAATATCTCATTTCTTCCTTGGTCTTGATTGTGTGAGTTTTATGTAGAAGATGATGAGGGATGAACGAACTGCAATCTCAATCTGAATTTGTCGAATCCACTGAAGCTATAATACAAGACCCAGTGACACATGCATAGAAGCATTATATATGTAACTTGGAGGTACCATTGTGGAGAAATCGGATAATAGATTATGATGACAAGAATTGACAGTTCATCGATTATTACGTTCTTCTGAAGATGAGAAAGCCCTTCTGTAGATCCTGGGAGGAAACATAATAACTGAAGTCTGTAAGAACTTGAAGAGAGAATTTGATTTCATTTTGGAGCAAGAATGTACTTACTATCACTTGGATAATCCACTGATAAATAAATAACAATAAAAATAAAAAAGTATACTGATAAAGCCAGCAGCTCTGTCCAAAACCTAGAACTTTAAATACCAAGCGAACTGGAGAATGGATACAAGATTTTTTAAATATTTTTTTATCTCACCTGGAAAAGGAGATGAAAAGAAGTTTTAGAACAAAATTTGATATATTTGAGATTATGGATAATATAAAATAATTAAAGTTGACGTTATATAAAAAATAAAATATTCATTAATTATGATTGGTAGTTAAAAATAAGGGAATAATATTTGTCATTGAGAAATATATTATGGCATTACTTTTTATTTTTAAACAAAAGTCAGCATAAAATGACAATCAACACGCATAATAAGGTGTAGAGGTTGGGTATCGATCTGGGCAGGGGTCAGATAGGCGCAACGTCGAGGAGATAAGTCGCAGTGAATAATAATGGCTCGTTATCAAGGAGAGTTTTGAAAGATGTGGTGGATTTATTCCATTCATCGTTTTCGAGGTCGAAACTAGCATAAGAGGTGGGTATATGTAGTCGACAGGTGTAGGACTCAAGCCCAGGCTGAGTCAATGGGTAAAGGAGAGGAAGGCTGAATAATGAAATTGTGGGTTTTCGACTTGGGAATGTTAGAGGGCATATCTTTTATAAAATGAACTCCGTTGCGAGCTTGCAGGTACAAGGTGCCTCTCTGGCCCTTAGCAATGAAACACTAAAAAAAAAAAGAAACCAAGGTCGATACGACCTATCCTACAATAAGAAAAGATGTCGTAGATAACTAATTGACAAATAGAATTTGACGACAATTAGTTAATAGGGACCTCGAACACGTTGCAGAAGTCAAGAAGAGCAGGACTAAGGGAAAACCTAAGTCCTAAGTTTATTTGGTCTTCACAAAAGGTTAAGCAGGCAGTTAGGGGGGTGGTCGTAAGCATTCATGGGTCGAGCCGACACGTAACGCCAGTCAACAGGAAGACAACATAGAACAAAAAAATTGTCGAGCCACTCCTCCTTGGCAGTAAGGAAGGTGCTCGGTGGACGAGCCAAGGTGACCATGTCTTAGGCAGTAGTATTGTGGCCCCAGGAATGGGCACACCCATGGGGATTTCGCAGGTCGATTGGGTAGGACATTAAGGAGAAGTAGTCGCTGCCTCATCCTCAATGCCAGTTTTGTCGCGAAGGTGGAGGGGACGACTAGGTGGATGGAAAGTGACCGAGGATAGAGCAGCCCAAGAAAAGAATAAAATGGTTTCGACCTCACCAGAAGGTGGGGTCGAATGAGTAAATTGCCGATTAAGGGTGGCAGAGGGAGAACTCATATCACGACTAGAATTGCGGTCACCCTCGCTGGAGGTGGCAGAATATGAGAAAAAAGATAAAGGACATAAAAAAAATAAGATTTAGGAATCGGAGGAAGACGGCCCTATCAGAGAAGAAATTGATAGAAAATTTCAGGAGAAAATAAAAGTGAAATAAACATGCAAAGCCAAATAAGAACAAGGAAGAAATGGAAACTTATGCATCGTTGTTGATAAGTAGCAAGGAAGTGAGGATTTTGTTGGACGATGGTGGACTAAGTAACAAGAACTCCAGGAACAAGTCGAACTTTCGTGGAGTGCGGGGAAGAAAGCAAGAGTATATATGCGAAAATTGTTGCAAAAATGGAAAATCTAGCAAGGTGGACTAAGCATCCTTTTATAGTGGGAAAGAGAAGGAAAGCAGAGGGGTCGATCGATCTCAGACGCATGATCAAAGGCGAATTCAGCGATCTAGATTGAAAGCAGTACGCGGAAAGACAGGTCAAATTTGATCGTTGGATTAAAGTGAAGGCGGACGAACGAGATCAATCTCAAATTAAATGGGGCGCACTGCGCGAGATCCGCACGGACTACGAAGCACCAGGCGAAGGGATGTTTGGACTGGAGTGGGCACATAGCGACAAGACAGTTGGATGGGATGGGTGTTGACGTGTGGCAACCATTTGAAATTCAAAATTCAAAAAGGAAAAAAGCCCGGCAAAAGGCTGAATAAGAGCGCGATAACTATTTCAAAGCAAGGATAGAGCTAAGCAAAGAGGGAACCAACATGCCAGAACTGGAGAATAACCCCTTTTCACTCTTGGATCAGGTCATCTTAACTCGACCACATGGGGGGA